CTAAACTATAAACAAATGTACAACATTCAAGGAAGTTGTCTCAAAGCATGCAGTATACCATGCTATTACAATTTAATTCATACATACATGTACACTAAACATGTATTATAATGATATTAAAAATCTTATATTTTTATTCTCACCTCAAGCACTGACAATGAATTAAAGTTTTCAATATCTTCAGATATTTCTTTGATTTCGTTAGATGATAGATCCAGTCTAGTCAGTTCCACCTGGTCCCACCATCTCTCATCAACATCAAATGAAGCAGTACTACCATCAGGAGGATCAATATTGAGTCTCCACAGTTTAGGAGGAATAACACTAATGTCCCTGTAATTATACACATTCATCCACTAGCTTTCATACCTCTACATGTTCATTAGTGCGTCATAAAAATGAAAATTAAAAAATCATTTAGGTCATTTTTTAATTTAAAAAACATGTTACAAGTCTCACACAGCCTCCTACCTGTTGACAGGTTCAGTGAACCGGTTTTACGAGCTTCTTTCAATAAGGATTCTGGTACAGTCCCCTCCTTACCTACCCCATCACTTTGACTAGGAGAATTGAAGAAGATAGGATTTGGTTTGAGTCTAGCAGAACCAGCAGGAGACTTTCTGGCACAATGACTGGAAGTCATTTTATGAATTTTGGACAAATGGGTGTGGTCTTATGTTGCATAGTTTGGGTGGGGCTGGTATTTGGCAAGAATGGCATCTAAAAGTGAGGGCCACTATTCTCTTCTCTTTGTATCTCTTTCATTCATTCTTTGTCTCTCTTTCTCTCTCACTTACTTTACTCCTCTGTATCCTGTCCTTATTCTAACTCATCACTATATTACTGTTACTCTGTTACTGGTACCTCTTGTTCTCTATAGACTATCAACCAGTGGAGAGAGAGAGACACTCCACAGTAAAGGTAGGAGACTACCTATATATGTGGGGTGGGTACGGGTCTAGAGTAGACTATGATGTGATGGAGGTGTATCACTTACCAACTGGTGCTTGGGACCAGAAACCTACTACTGGTACCCCACCACTAGGTACCTGGGCCTATTCAACTTTTGCAATTGGGAAGGACATATATTATTTCGGTGGATATGGTGGTGGTGGTTATCAAAACAGCTTACATTGTTTCAATGTGGATTCATTCAAGTGGAGGGAACTCTCTTCTTCTAGTTCTGATTGTCGTCCAATGAAGAAGGGCTACTGTGGAATAATATCAGTTCATTTTGACAGTGAACACTATCTCGTAATAATCGGAGGACTGGGATCATCTTCTACACCTAAGCAACCTAACACTCAGTATAATAATTATTATGGTGATTTGAGATGTAATGAGATACATTATTACAGGATTTCATCAGGTCAGTAATTCTCATCATTGATACACAATAGTTGATGAGTATTTCAAACTGAATAATTTATATTAATGTACATAAAACAAATTGTTAATAATTAAGTGTGTTTGTTAGTGTGTCTCTGTGTGTCATGTGTTTGTGTGTGATGGTGACGTGTGTCTATATGTGACGTGTGTGTGTGTACTAATACATACATTATGATGTGTCTGTGTATGATAGTGCATATAATGTATGTGAGAATTTATGAATGTATGACGTGTGTATGTGACGTGTATCTATAATGTGCATGTTATGTGTGTGTGAGTATTATCATGTATCTGTGTGTGTGTGATGTTTGTATATGTACATGTATCTATACATAAGCTAATGTGACATGAGTGTGTGTGTGTGTAGGTTCATGTTATTTATTATCATTTTAAATAAAGTTCTGTATCACATGAGTCACAAATTACCCACATACAATGTTCCATGAGTTTTGTATAATTATTCATTAACAATCATAACTGACATGTACCAGAATAGATTAGTAATCCTGAAATAAGGAGACCCCCTGGACCTCTCCTTACAGGTGTGGTGTGTGTGATGGTGTGTGTATCCATACATGAGTGTATTTGTGTGTGTGTGTGTATCATGTGATAGTGATGTGTGTCTATGCATGATGTGTATGTATGAATAATAATGTACACACATATACACATACATATGTATGATGAATGTGTATAATGTATGTGTGTGTATGTGGTAAGTAAGTGTACATGAATGTTTGTACATTATTATTAGATCAATGGATATCTCCTGTTGTTACTGGAGACAGACCACCTCCTATTAGTCACTTCACTCTAACACCTCTTACTAATAACACTGCGGTAATGTTTGGAGGCTCTACTCCTAATGAAATCTGTGATAATAAACTGTATATCATAAGTTTCACTAAGACATCAGTGGTGAGTTAATACTGTAGGATGGGTTTTGATTGTGAGATTATTTAGATTGTAAATTGTGCCGTATGGGGTTTCCAAGTAAACTTTATTTTATTATTCTCTCAGGATATATTAGAAGTACCTAATCCTAGAGGATCAGTACAATGGCCTGAGGGAAGATGGGGTCATTCCAGTGTACTGATTACCACTAGTTCAGGACCACACTTACTAGTGGTGGGTGGATATCCTGCCTATGATGTATGGTTACTGGACATTAACAAAAGAAAATGGAAAGAACTGGTAAGTATTATATTATGATGCTTGATAATGAAACATAAAGTGATTAACTAAATTTGTAACTCATGAGGTTTGTAATGTACATGTACATATTATGATACTCAGTGAAAACTACTGATGAATAATGCTGGTATTCAGTATGTGTGTGTGTGTGTCTGTTTTTATTGTGAATGTGTGTTTGCGTCTTTTTGTGTTTTGTGTTTGTTTCTTTACCTAAATGTGTGTGAATATACATGTGTGTGTGTGTGTGTGTGTGTGTGTAAAGATGGATTGACAATTGATAGTGTCAATGCTGGAATTATAATAAATTCTATTTTATGTACATTGTGTACAATGTGTATGTACATACATGTATTTGTGTGTATGTGTGTATATGTTTTAATATGTGTATGTGTGTACTAACACGTACATCATGTGTACATGTAACATGTACATGTGTGTGTATGTGTGTGAGCAATTATGCATGCTTTACATGTAGCTTTATATGTCTATGCATGTATAGATGTACATGTATGTGTGTTAGTGTGTCATTAGTATGTGTATGTGTATGTGTGTACATGCAGACACTTAGTAAGTTCTTAATTGAGGACTCACATGATATAATAACAGACTCAGTTGTGTATACTTGTCTATTAATATATTGTGTATTATTAATTTTATTATGTCATCTTTGTGTTACATAAAACACACTGTGCAGACTATAAAACTGTGAAATAGTTATTGTGTTTATTAACCAGATATCAAATCAATTAATATGTCATACACAAATTAATTATTATCATTTAATTTTATAGATTAATCTACCAGTCAATGTCACTATGAGTGACAGTCATTCTCTCTCAGTGTGGAGTGTGACCCCAACTACTAACTGGATAATTGAGTTTGGAGGAGACAGATCAGACTATTCAACATTAAGTGATACAGCAGTTATTGAACTCAGTAAGTACATGTAGACAGTAGTAGATACAATGTGTATTGAATATGTAATGATAATTAGTAATGATAATATTATAATAAAGTAAGTAATTCTTATGATGAATTTTTAATGAGAGCATTTGACATATACCTATGATACTAATTATTACCAATTCATTCCTGCTATGTACAATAGTGAAATATAATGACTGCAGATACAGAAACACTGATATTAATAGGAGCTAGAGTGAACGAAATATTATTATCAGTGTATTTATATACAATAATATGTTCATGTGGTTAACTGTGTAAACTGACAGAGGTCACACATACAATGATTAAACATGAATCCATTAATAATAAGGTTACCATAGTAACTAAGTGTAATTAATTTGTGTATTTCTTATTGTCCACTATTTCGTTACTGTATAGGATATACTAGTGATAATGATTGGTCTACTAGTGTAATACCTCTGGACCAGTATCAAGATCAACTAAGAAGAAGGATACTGAGTGATTGGGAGAATTTAGGATTAAGCAAAGAGGTTCAATTACTCAGAGGGCACCTACAAGAAAGAGAGAGAGAATTTTATGAGGAACAGCTTCAAAGAGAAATAAAAGAGAAGGAGCAGATACAGCAAGATCGAGACAAAGAGCAGCAACAGGTTCTTCAAGAAAAGGTAACACTTAGTCAGCAACTTGATGATGCTACCACTCTCCTTGAGCAAGCAGAAAAGGATAAATCAAGTCTTGAATTAGGTACTATTGTGTTGTACTGTTGTTTATGTGTACATTGTTTACATTATAATACTAGTGGATTAGAGAATGTTGAGTATGGAAATAGTATCCTGTACTCAATATAGGTCAAATTGTCCATGCATTAGAGATAATGAGATTCATGTAGAGTGAGTTCTGCATACCATATATGGTATCATTAGCAATAATCTTAGTACACGTATTTATGGGCTACTGTACTGTACATGCAGTGTAAATTTGTGTAAGCAACAAATTTTACTTTATTTTTACCTTTGTATATTTATTGATAATAGAATATAATGAGAATCTTAAAGCTAAAGTTGCTGATATTGAAGAGAAGAAACAGATTATTACTGGTTAGTGTATCATCAGTACATAATAGTGATGAGAGAATATTGTATTAATGTAGAACATTATGAGAAACTTAAACTCAAAGTTGCTGAACAATTGGAAGAGAAGGAGGAACGATGTCTTAAAAAGAAACAGATCATTATTGGTTAGTTAACTATACACACAGCATGTATTAGATGAGAGAATATGTTTATTGTGTAGACGACATTCAAAATCTGAAAACTGACATTTCTGAGAAAGACAAAGTTATAGCCAAACTGACATCACAAGTAGAGGAACAATCAGAGAATGAGAAACAGATCATTACTGGTTAGTATATCATCATCAATCAATAATAATTATTAGTATTCTATTAATTTATAGACCTTAAAGAAAAGGAGTTGTACATAGCCAAACTAGTGAAGGAAAGACAAGAGAGGGTCCTCAAGCAACCTATCAAAGAGACTAGTTCTATTGGACTACAATTTAATTACCTGATCCCTTCAATGGGTAAATTAGTCATGTATACATGTACATGTATACACATGTGAATGATTGTGTGTGCACTATACTGGTATTAGATATGATGTGTCTGTATTGTTTCAGATTCACTAGACTCTAGTATCATTATAGCTGGACAGAAGCTCTTTATCCTACAAGGAGACAGGTCTCACTCACTCCAGTGGGAGAAATATGGATTCAGATTAGAGTGTCCTCAAGGAGCAGTGACCAAGGATACTGAAGTAGCTGTTACTGCACTAGCTGGTGGTAATTTCAAGGTACCCAACAGTACTGTGCTAGTGAGTGCAGTATATGCAATATCAGTATCTAAGGGACTATTAAAACCACTGGTAATAGAGCTACAACATTGTGTGGATCTAAGGAAGACTAGTCAGACTGGTTGCCTCAAGTTTGTGAGAGCTCCACTGAAGTCTCCCAATGCTTACCAGTTCAGTATAGTTGAAGGAGGATCTTTTAGTGTAGGGAACAGATATGGTTCTATTGAACGTGATGAATTCTGTGCTCTTGGTATTGGACATGTTGGTAATGGAGACACACCTAATGGAGGTGGGAATGGATCAGAGAATGATACACAAACTCAAGGTATACAATATTGTTTGTATTAATAATTTACTGTTGATGTGTTTGTGTGATGTATAGGAACAAATAATGATTGTGAGGAGGAGACTAATGGAGACACACCTAATGATAGCAGTAATGGAGCAAGAGAGAATAGTAGTGGAGGAGGAGCCACTCCACCAACAAGTACTACACCACCTCATGGTATGTAACTGTATCATGTATACTGCATGTTATGTTTTACCTTATAGACTCAATTAATGATGATCCTTCTCAGTTAGTCCGTGAGGTAGAATCCCATACTACTGATGAACCAACAATGCAACAGTCAGATCATGTACTAAGTGATTCTGATGAAACTACAGCTACTGTATCCATTGAACAGTGTCCAGCAAGGAATGATGATGAATCATCTACTGATCATTCCACTACACATTCAGGTATTAATGGTATATTATATGTATTACGTACATTATAAATACATGCAGCAGCTTCTCGTGATACATTGTATTCTGGAATGATGTACTATGATAAGAAAGAAGCTGGTCATTGGAAGGCTATGTATTCTGTTGTTAGAGATTTGGAAGTTCTTAAAACGGTAAAGTATACACCTCATGTACATGTACATACACCCACACTACAAATTTTGATCATTTGTTTTATGTTCATTTAGTATTTTGAAAGCAAGCAGGGATCAGGTATTGAATATGATAATGTTGTTGACTCATTTAAGTTTATTGAACCAAATGGAACTCTTAAATTGACTCTACACACTGTACAGGAGGTTGGATGGACTGTTAATCCTGATAGAAAACCAATGAAAGTTAGTGCTTTTAATGAAGTATTTATTATAAGGACAATTCCTTTAGTTGCTTCAGTCAAGAGTTGACCTGTTCCCGTTAAATCCCTCTTATGCAACTTGTAGCGTGTCAGTGTATGCTGAAATTGGTGTTGCTAAAAAGCCACTTCATTGCCCCATTGAATTAACTGGAATAGATCCTGATATTACAATTTGCATTAACAGATCCCCACCTCCTTCATTGTCAATGAGTTAGTGAATGAGATTTGGGACATTTATAAGTGATTATTGTTGGTCTATAGGAGACAGTACTATCTCAAGCTCCTCTACTGCTAGTATCAGTCAAACCAGGAGAGAGACTGAAGAAGGTATGATTGATATTAATGCAATAACACACTAATCACTGAATTTGTATCATTAATAGGTACATTTAGATCTGATATTGCTCATAGAGTAATGACAGAATGTACTTCACTAGTAAAGGATTGTGGGATTGATATTCATTTCTTAGTTGATAAGTTGTTGGAACACAAAATTGTAAACGCAAGAGAGAAAAGACGAATAATTGCTCAAGAAAGTGACGATGAACGAATGGATGAATTGCTTCACATCATTTTGAGTTCTATTCGTATGAATGGAAAAGTATTTGGTATATTCTTAGATATACTCAGAGAGGAAGATACTCTAAGAACTATTGCACTAGCTGATGAGCTTATACAAAAATATAATAATAGCTAGGTATTTTGCTTTAGTATTATTACAATTATTCTTATCGTTGTTGTTACTTTTTTGCTTAATATTGTTGATTTTATGGAAGCAATTGCTTTTTTAAAATTATAACAATAAAGGACAAAATAAAAAAAAGAAAACAATGTAAAAATTGTTGAGTATCTCTTCATTGATGTACATGTATATGTACAGGTGTCATAGCAACAGTCATTTTCCTCAGCAACGCTACTGATCTAGTTGTTAGAGTAATTCTTCTATAGAAAGTAGAAGGAGGAAGAGAGAGAGGATCAAGAGAGAAAGAATGGAATGACATCATGAGAAGTAACATGACTTACCCTCTTTGATGAAAAGGAGCATACATTGGGTACCCCATAAGAACAGTAACAATATACCATAACCTAATGATAACAATAAACAATGCATCATGTAATAAGTAAAAGAAAATGCACGTAGACATGTACATGTACAGTACATGGATGCACATAGCCTTTGCTCTTCTCAAATTTGGCTCAGTTTTTTTAAATTCTCGAATTCTTATAACTTGAAAATTATCAGCTCAAATTTTCTACATATCATAAGGACATCAATATGTATCGGGAAATCTAATAAAAATTGGGGTAATTTTGGAGCCATTTTTTACAAAAAAAGCATGGGCTATAGCCTTGGGTATTTTTTTTAAATTGGCTTATTTTTTAAAATGCTCATTACTCGAAAATTATTTATCGGAAACAGTTCAAATTTTCTACACAGCATCAGGACATCAATATGTATCAGGAAATGTAATAAAAATTGGGGGTGATTTTAGAGCCATTTTTTTACAAAAAAAGCATGGGCTATAGCCTTGGGTATTTTTCAAAAATTGGCCTATTTCTAAAAATGCTCATAACTCGAAAATTATTTGTCAGAAACAGTTCAAATTTTGTACACAGCATCAAGATATCAATATGTATCAGGAAATGTAATCATGAATTAAATGAATTAAATGAATTAGAGTGTGATTCAGAAGCCAATATAAAATACACACATGTCAACAACAGTGAAAAATGTGCCAAATAATGAAAAGAAGAATTTGAGATAAAAGCAGCAAAAATTTATTACTATAATTTTTATTCTTCCACATGGTTACAGGGTAAACACGTTAAAAATGAAAGTGGCTTTGACTGTTAGCAAAAATATTAGGTCAAACACATAAATTTATACTATGCAGTATTTATTAAAAGACACATTAATATTCTTACTCAGGAGGTAGCATAGCTTTTATCATCACAGCTTCCTTTCTCACCACACCTCCCCTCACTCCACCCACTCCTCATCCTTACCTACACAACATCACATGACTATCATCAAAAGTCACATCATCTCTCACTTGTATGGTGACGAGGGGATCTTGATGGACGAGGGAAAGGTTGGCCGTCACATGTGGTCTCCTGGTTCTTCAATACAAGAGATACTAGAGGACCAATACTGTTCCTTTCCGGAGGATGTCAGGTCTCATTCATTTAATTAAGAAGAGAACATCAAAGAGAAGATAATGAAGAGACTCAAACCTTCCTAACATATAGGAGAGACTATAATAGAAAGAGAGGGAGGGAGAGATATACATAGAGAAAGGAAAGAAGGAAAGGAATAGAATGAGGGGGAGGAGGGAAAAGGAGGGAAGAAAAATAGAAAGAAGAAAGGGAAGAAACAAACTAAACTATAAACAAATCTACAACATTCAAGGGAGTTCTCTCAAAGCATGCAGTATACCATGCTATTACAATTTAATTCATACATACATGTACACTAAACATGTATTATAATGATATTAAAAATCTTATATTTTCATTCTCACCTCAAGCACTGACAATGAATTAAAGTTTTCAATATCTTCAGATATTTCTTTGATTTCGTTAGATGATAGATCCAGTCTAGTCAGTTCCACCTGGTCCCACCATCTCTCATCAACATCAAAAGAAGCAGTACTACCATCAGGAGGATCAATATTGAGTCTCCACAGTTTAGGAGGAATAACACTAATGCCCCTGTAATTATACACATTCACCCACTAACTTTCATACATCCACATGTTCATTAATGCGTCATAAAAATGAAAATCAAAAAATCATTTCAATCGTTTTTGGTAAATTAAAAAAATTCCTCCTACCTGTTTGACAGGTTCAGTGAACCCGTTTTACGAGCTTCTTTCAATAAGGATTCTGGTACAGTCCCCTCCTTAGGCCACAGTGATTAGATTCATTGTTTCTCAACCTTAATAGGAAGGAAGCGGGCGGGCGGGTAGTTATAGTTATTAAATTATTTATAGTTATTATTAATAATTATTATCATAATCAAAAAAGGCACCAATGTTTAAAATACAAAAAACCTAAACAAAAAAAATAAGTGAAAAGTAAGGACTTTTACAATTAGCAAATACAAAATACATAAAAGAAAAGTGACACAAACATTAATTTTATAATAATAATAAATCATTTATAACAAGATTATCATGAAGAGAACAGAAGCAGGGAGATTAGTGGCTCAGTGCTCAATGCGCCTTCTTGTAGCACGCTTGATTGGTGATTTATCTGTACATAAAACACATTGAGGATAATATTCGTCAGAATAAATCAGTTGTAGTGTACTGCCACAATGTACACAAATTGCTTGAAACCCACAACTATAGTACAATTTTTCTATTGGGTCACTGCAGCTGTGTACCTTGACAAAAACTTCGATGTCATCAGGAAATTGTATGTCTTCAAATGAAGCCCCACAGGTATAGGAAATATCCTCAATAACTTTCTCTAATTTTGCAAAATTTTGGGAGCTTATTTTCTTTTTAGAAAACAAAAGGCGCCACAATTGACATTCTT